TAGGAAGCTGGATTGTACATAATTTTTTCCAATTTTTCTGGTGGTTGAAAAGTGACAGACCAGACGGACTGAGTACAGTCATGATGCAGCCAACAGCTCACCCCCTGTGGTTGAGCCATTGGCTTCTTCCTTTTCCCTGTTCTGATCCTGCCTGCTCGTTTGAACACATCACCTACAGTAGCAAGAAATTCCTTTCTAATCATGGAGCCTTCAGTAACCTTAAATACAAACTGTGTGTGCAGTTGCTGAGCATTAGTGGTTAGCTGTGACTCCTTTGACATTGCTGGAGTAATAGATGCAATCTTTTTCATCAGTGGGTCCAGCTTTGAAGAGAGAGCAGAGAACTGCCGCTTATTCTTCCCATCAGTGTTTGACAAGGCAGTGTTTGGCAGGCAAAACAAGTGAGGGTGCTGTGTGTGAGTCTGGGGGCTCTTGTGTTTACCTGTACCTGTGTGATCCTGTTCTACAAGACTTAATCTGTGGCCTTCATTCTGTGATTTAGAACAGGAATCTTCCCATAAAAACATTTATATTAAATACATTTGGTCATGGTTTTGTCTTTATGTCTGAGATCTTGCTTGCTGAAGAGCCGTCAGGAGAAGGGTAATGGTCTTGATTTTTTCTCAAAAAAAATGTTTGGGAGTTCACCTGACACCGTCTGAAAATTCAGGTGAAATTCCAAGTAGAATGTTGTCCTACTGGAACAATTTGAACAAAGATATTTTACTGTAACAGGTTATTTTTGTAGTGCTAGAAAGTAATCTTTGAAGGACCCCACTACAATGTAGATACACAATGCATGGAGAGGCCATGTGCTGAAGCAGTAGGGAGTAAATCCCTCTCTTGCATCTGAAAGATACAAATTTGAGTGTCATCAACAAGTGGCTCCACCACTTTCACCTGAGGGCTTAGGGGGTTGTGTGTGTGGGTTTTTTCAACGTGCTATAGGCAGAATTTGTCTCAAGGCTGGTGGTAGTCTCTGCTTTTGAGTCCCCTGAGAGCAGTGGCTGCCTCTCAAGTGCTCGGATTTGGTCTCTGTTCCGTTCTCTTTTATGGGGGCAGGGGGTGTGTGAGTACTTGGGTGATGACCAGAGCTGCCATGTGGACTCTGAAAGTAGAAACCCCTTCCCCTAGTCAGACATCTTTAACTAAACGTATATGGTAGATTGTCTTTTTATTCATTTTTTGTTGTCTTAGTGTTGCCCTAAACAACAAAACATCTCAGCCTGTGTCATTTTCTGGCTGTTCTGTGTGATGGTTAAAGGATTTTCTATCCTCCTGTGTCTTCCTTTGAAGATAAACAGGATAAATTAATATTGCAGGCAGTCTTGTCCTGGGCTTTCTGTGTGACTTTCTTGAGTCTGTGGAGCCTTTTTCCATGTCGGTAGTTGGAGGCACCAATGCTTCCTCACATCACTAGTTTCTTGTGGGGAGAAGTTATTATTCAATTAGATAATTTAGTAGTGTTGCATTCAGGAGCTAAGATGCAGTCCCTGCACCTTGTTTGCAGTAAAGACAAACACTTGCAAGTACCTGACGCCTGAAGCTCAGTAGAAATCTCACTATGTATTAAAAGCAATGTGCTTTCCCTGAGGATTTCAGGATTTGTACATTTTCCTACATTGTTGGATGTAGGCACTGAGTGAATGGTCTTGGGGGAACTCGAGAAGAGGAAGCCTTGGAAACCTGTTTAAATTGCAAGACTGTAAAGAACTCTTCTGTGCAATCTTTTGTCTGTAGTATTATTCCCCTGCAATATTTGACTTGGTGTTAGGTATTCAATGTTTGTGCTTGTATTTTAGAAATGTGCACAAAAAGCCTTTTTATACCGCGCTGCTACAAGTGCTTCTTGTATTGCTGTCATTTCCCTGTGCCTTTGTTCACTTTTTAATTTCTTCTTTTTCTTTATTTGCAGATTTATAATTAATTCACATATTTATTTTAATTCTGTGTCCTTCATCCCTTTGTCTGTAGTCATTACTGTTTCTCCTGGTATATCTCTATTGTGTTTGTTCTGACTTTGACACCTTTATTTATTGTGTTCCAAGAAAGAGGAAATTAGATATAGCTCAAGAACCCACAGATCTTTCTACTGGCATTAGAAATGTGTGAATCCTAGTTATCTTTTCCTTTCTTGCAGTCAGTAGAAGTAAAGAAAGTTCTTGCTCTAAGTTCATTGTTTGAACCTAAACCTCAAGTATCCCTTCGATGGTATATTCCGAAGCAAACAAAGCTGTTTGCTGACTGATGCTCAGTTCCATTGTGTTTCTGCTGGTTAATTTACTGGGAATTTGCTGAGCTTTGTTCTTATTCAGACAAGTTTTGTTGAGTGGGTTGTTAATTGCAGGTTTAAGCTTGTATTTGCTCTATGTAGCAACTTAAAACATTGTGAGTTCTTTCCTCTCTATATTAATTTACTTAGTTAGGCCTTTAGAAGAGGCACTGCTTCATTAAACACTATCCTGTTTAGTCTGTAATGACTCTACTTCTTCCACTCTAAACACATTAATACATTAAATAGTTTAATTTGTCTTCAGTGGGATGAGGGTGTTCCACAAAGGGGCTTGGGGCCTCTGATACATGCTCTTTGGTGTTGTAACAGTGCTGTGGAGGACTCAGCAGAGTCTATGCTATATTTCGAGGCTGACTGAGTTTTTTTAGCCTGTAATGAATCAAATTTGATATTCATTTGTCACAATGATGAGAACAGTATCATTTTTGTGCTTCTATAAAATGAAGCACCCGTGACTACTTCAGGTCTTTGCTCTTTCCCCCCAGTCCCTTCCTGCAGTGGAGCTCCAGTGCCAGTGGTGGGAAGCCACTGTGTACAAGTAGTAGGTGATGAGATGACGCTCCTTCTGTGGTGATGAGCTGGACCACTCATCTGCTCTTTGGGTGCAGCAGCACAGTAGTGAGACACATGAACATGAAGGGAAAAGAAAATAGGTGGCTGTTTTTCCAGGGGACAGGCTGTCCTGCCACAGCACCCAGGGCTGCTGGAGGGAGCAGCAGATTGCCGGCTCCGAGTGCCAGGGGGAGCAGCTGCCAGCTCCAGCTTGGCCTCCGAATGGGCTGCACATTTTAGCAAGTGCTTAGCGCTTTTGGGCAGGCTGGGAAAAAAACAACTTCTGGAGCTTATCTCCTCCAGTAGCAGATTTCTGTCTGGTCTAAAGAGTGGGCACTGCAGTGACCAAAGAGGCAAAGGGAGAAATGGAAGTAGGAAGGATACACCCACTGCAACAGAGTTCTTTTGTGTAAGCCCTGTTTTATCCACAGAAGTCATGAAGCATTTCATTGACTCGGAAGGTGCTACCTCACCTCTCTTTCTTCAAAGGGAGCTTTTCATGCTCTGCTTCGTTCCCTTCTAAACAGATTCACATTTCCAGGGTTAATGTCACAATTTCTCATTTATAGCAATTACATTTCTTTTACATTTTAGAGTAGAAGTTTTATAGAATCCAAGTGTATGCTTTCTGTTTCGGTACTTGGGCAATCACTGATTTGAACAATAGGTAAATTGAAGATTAGTGGTGATACACCACTCTCTGCAGTAGTTGCAGTGAAAGTATGCTGAGCTTGTGTGAGCATTCCCGAGCCATGGAGTAATCACAAGTAATGTACACGCTGTTAAGATTGGTTTGGGTTGTTTTATTTTTCTTTCCCTGTGGGGTTTCTGACACACTGAGCCTCAGCAAAAAGGGTTAAATAGAACTTGAGCTATGAGTTTGAAATTATGCTTGACACATCTGATCCATATTACTGCAGTGTGTCTGCAACTGCAGTTGGTATGTCAGTTCTGCAAGTAAAAAAGTGATTGCAATGCAATTTCTTCTTTTTCATGTAAAATCACACATTTCCTCCATGCAGGGATTTTCTTGTTCAGTGGGCTACAGTGTGGATTTAGAAAAAAAAATAATTCATTTATATGTAAATACAACCTGAAGGCTACACATATCTGTGCTGCTACAAAGACAGAGAGCAGGTACATGAAAACAAATGGACCTGTTGTTGTTAGAAATTCATAGTTTACCATAATAGGGATGGTGGGGGGTGAGGGGGGGAAGGGTTGTCTTTGAAATCATATAGGTCAGCAATTCAGACTTCTGTATTTGTATTCCACTTAAAGGAGAAAATGGAAAAGGTTCTGGATGTTTGCTATTTTAAAGCAAACTTGAGGGGGGAGAAGCAGAAACAGTATTTTTCATATGTCCTATTAGCAAATTACATGCTGTAAATACGATATTTTAGTCTTTGGCTCGGCAATAAATTTTGTGAATTTTATTTGTTTTGGAGGGTGGGGTATGTGAGTTTTTGGTAATTGTTCCATTTTTTTTTGTTACATGAAAAGAAAATTTTCAAAAAAACTGGAAGTAGAAATTACGTCTGTGGGTCTCACCAAATGCTGGGAGGTACAAGAAATCCATCATTCTAACACAAAAGAGGAGGAGGGGTGGACAAACAAGGAGATGGTGGGTGATTGTGGTGTCATGCAGAGCATTTGCTTTACCTGAGATGTGTTCCTTGATGTAGTAGAAATATTTCCTTGCTGAAGTATTTGGATTTAGACTTAAAATAGCATAAATTATTTTGAGATAAGTTCACATTAACCACCGCAGATTCGTCACTTAACCTGTCACTGTTGCTGGAGATAAAAGTCTTAGCTTCTATCAATGCATCTTCTACTTCAACAAGAGAAAATGCAATTTAGTTTTATAGGTATTTTAGAAGAGTCTGTGATAAAAGCAAACCAGTTTGTTCTCTAATAAGTATTAAAGACCAAACCTGTGCAATTTGTAATAAGTGTAGTCTATCCTCTTAAAAATGTCCTGGGGATTTATGCACTAAACTCAGATTAATGCTAATAGGAGTTACTTAAGATAATAAATCATTTCTTTAGCATGGCATTTCCCTCTAACATCTTTTTATTTCTTTTTTTAATGAAAACAAAGTTAGAATTGGAATTTGTGGTATAAAGAACCTTTTTTCCTTCTTCTCTGTAGGCATGCTTCTAAGAAGCGTATTGACCATGAGGAAGCCCGTGTGCTAGTAACCCGTTTTTACTAATCCTGCCGAAGAAAATGAAGCCACGTTTCAGCTTTGCCGATCCTTTTCCCACCCTGGCGGCTGAATGAGAAATGGTTGTGTGATTATGCTGACAGCCCAGCATGCATTTGGTAGACCTGTGGTTAACTCGTTCCCTCTCCATGTGTCTGCTCTTACAAAGTTTTGTCCTCATGATACTGTGCTTTCATTCTGCCAGTATGTGCCCAAAAGGCTGCCTCTGTTCCCACTCCGGAGGTCTGAACGTCAGCTGTAGCAATGCAAACCTCAAGGAGATACCCAGAGATCTTCCTCCAGAAACAGTCTTACTTTATTTGGACTCTAATCAGATAACATCTATCCCCAACGAAATTTTTAAGGACTTGCACCAATTGAGAGTCCTCAATTTATCAAAAAATGGGATTGAGTTTATTGATGAACATGCCTTTAAAGGGGTGGCAGAAACCTTGCAGACTCTGGATTTGTCTGACAACCGGATTAAAAGCGTGCACAAAAACGCTTTCAACAACCTGAAGGCCAGGGCCAGAATTGCCAACAACCCCTGGCACTGTGACTGCACGCTGCAGCAGGTGCTGCGGAGCATGGCCTCCAACCACGAGACGGCCAACAACGTCATCTGCAAGACCTCTGTGCTGGATGAGCACGCGGGGAGACCCTTCCTCAACGCTGCCAACGACGCCGACCTCTGCAACCTCCCTAAAAAGACTACTGACTACGCCATGCTGGTCACCATGTTTGGCTGGTTCACCATGGTGATCTCCTACGTGGTTTATTACGTCCGACAGAACCAGGAGGATGCAAGGAGGCACCTTGAGTACTTGAAATCCCTGCCAAGCAGGCAAAAGAAACCAGATGAAGCCGATGACATTAGCACTGTGGTATAGTATTCTGAATAAAATGACCGCCTTTGTGGTGGAAACTAGAGTTGGATGACGCTAAAACCAGAGGTTTACTTCTAACGTTCATTGTAAACATTAAGACTTTTGGGGCTTTTTTTTCCTGTTTAACTGAATTACGCCACTGTTGAGCTTTCTAACAGAAAGTTTTGTCTGGGTGGTAAACTTCAATTATTTCTCTGGTGGTATCCTAAAGCAAGCAAATTAATATGTAAACATTAGTTTAGACCCATTCCACTATTTAATAACGAAATTTATTTTTTTAATTTAAAAACTAAATAAAAGCTTAAATTTGAACCATGTAAAGCAGAGTAATTTATTGATCAGAAACATGTCCAGTGCCAGAGCACTCTTGGCTTGTTCAGTGCCCATGAGGTAGAAGAGAGGAGCGATGATGAAGCGGGCTGTAAGAAGTCCAGGAGTGGAGAGTCCCCAAAGGGCACGTCTCACCCATGGGTGCAAGGTGAGCAGCTGGTGAATGGTGGCCCATTTTGTGGGCTGCCTGCCACAGTGGGAAAGGGGCACAGTGTGGGCAGAGCAGAGTGCCCTGACTCTAAGGGACTGATGCTTGCTTAACCTCTCGGAGGGCATTTTGGCAGTGCTGGGGAGGAGGCAACCTGGAGGAGCTGCACCTCAGGACATCAAAGAGAGGTAAGCCAGGGGCATGTGGTGATTTTCATCTTACACCCACTTACTGCCTTGCATGAGCTTCAGGCAGGTGACCTCATTACTGGGGAGTACAGCAAGAAGGCAACAGCAAGCTTAGTATGCTGGTCAAACTAGAATACCATTAGTGATAATTGAAAAAAAAATCTGGTGGGTTTAAGTTGTATATTAAGCAATTTTGGCTTCTATTTTTCAGAGAACAGCCTTTTAAAAAATTGAAGGAAATAAATGAATATATAGGCTAGGCATATTCTATTGTGTGTTAGGATATATGTGTGTTTTTGTATGATTTTGTGGCTAAACGTTTAGGAAAATAGAAAGTCCACATGCAGTTAAACTCAGCCTTGCATATTAAATGGTCTTTAATCTGTCTTTAAAAACACAGTGTTTTTCTCTTTTCATAGATGAAATTTTCAAAGGGAACAAATCCACATTAACATATTCCTCTTGTCCTTTATTACCATAATAAAATGATCCTTGTCTCTGGGTCCCTATAGATCCAGTCTAACTGACATTGGAATATGTATTACAGAAGGGTGGATTTAAAAATGTATAAAACACTGCTTTCCAAGAGAAAGTGTTAAAGGTCAGCCTTAAAAAAATGTAAAAACCCTCCAGAGTAATCTCTCTGATTAGTTTATCTATTATTTCTGTTACGGTTCTGTTACAAGGGCAGACACTTGTTTATCTTATTTTTTTTCAGAACACTGTTAAAATAATAGCTAAAACTTGTTTTAAATCAAGAGACAGAACAGAGAAAAAATTAAATGGACATAGAGTCAACTTTTTATGTCATCTTTGCACTTTTTTTCATCTTGATATGGTGAGTCCTTGTGACCGACTTAGCTGTTTGCATACCTCCATGAGCAGTTTTTGGCAAATTAAGAGAATGTTAATGTTTGTAAAAGGCACAATCTGTCTGTAAAATATCCACTGTCTGATATTTCTGTCTCTGCCACCGACTCCCTTAAGCAAAAATGTTATTTTGTAAGGCGAGGCTCTTGTTGATGACACATCCTCCTTAGTTAGCATTTTATGTTTTCCTGTTTCCAAGCTCTATCTGACTATCTACCCAAGCCCCCCAAACTCTGTGTGGCCTCCTGCAGGACCCAAAAGCAGTAGGGTTAAATACACATGTGAGTCTGAAGAGAGCAGATAAAAGGTTACACTGTAGAGGCAATATAACAAACTCTACTGAACGGGATGTGTAGCATCTCTGTGTAGGCTGAGCAAAATTACTTCCTGATGCAATTCCCCTAATTTCTCTAAAATTTCCTTCAGAGTGAAATTGGTCTCATTTCTGTCACTGTGTTCCCCAAGCAATATTTAGGATAGCAGATAATATGCTACAGTGGGAAAAAGCAGGGGGGACTTGCTAAAAGATGACTGTAAGCTGGAGGTACTCACAATCAAGAATTTGGTGTTGTTTATTCACAGCTGAATGCAGGAGTTTCTCCACAAAATTTGGACAGAATTATTTAAACAACAGTTAGGAAATCCTGGTCAGTTTTAAAACACTTTTAAAAGCACTTGGCAGGTTTTAAAAATTTAATTTCAAGCAACATTTTCAAAAAGAACCCCTCTTCCCAAAACTGACTAAAAAATTGACTAAGAAAAACATAAATAAGTTATCTTTAGGTTTTCTGGGGTTTTTTTTTGTTTGGTTGTTTTGGTTTTTTTTAACTTGGTCCATGAGACAGGATCTGGTACAGTTTTACCCCAGCGGAACTTCTGGCTTTTCAGCTGTAAGTTCTGACCCAAACACATGTATACAAAGCTAAGCATTACTCTGTAGGAATGCTTTGGAGGGATGATTTCAAGAAGATAAGAAGATGCTTGTTTTTACTGTGTTTACTTCACACCTTTCTTTCCAAAACTACTGTCTCTAGAAAAGCCTAGGTGCTGCCCTTTGAAGTCAATGGCACAAACTTTGAGACTATCAAAGTGAAACTCTTCAAGGAGTTATTTCATTTACAAAACAAGTTTTGCTGAGAAATTAGTAATTTGGTTTATTTTTGTCTGTGATACCTTAGCATGTAAGTACAGATGAGAGGAAATGGATGTTTCCTGACTCACAGGAGATAGCATGTGATAGAAAATAAGAAGAGATATTCATAATACAGTGATTTTTTTTTTTGTATTAAGATGCTTCAGGAAAAGTAAAGCTGGGACTTAATAGCTTAAATGTGATTAATTTTTCTACCCTGATTTTCTTACAGAAAACATCCATATTTTTGTTTCTAAATGGTACAAGATAACTGTCAATATTAGTTTTTTCTTAAAATGAATGGTGATTTTTCTCAGCTAATTTTCTAGTGTTATGCTCTAAGGATAAAATCTGGGGTAGTGCATTTGGTCTGTGTGTATTAAGGCTCAGGCTTTATGTGTTTCTTGTATTCTTAATTTGGTACACTGTTAGATACACATCTCTTCACTGTTAATGTACATTATATTCTTAAGTCTTTGGTAGCAAGATTTTGCACTGCAATTGCCATGAATTTCGGGGGTATGAACAGAAAATGTGGTGATCCGTGTTCTGGTCTTTCCAAGAAAAAAAGAAGAGTATAGAATTTTTATTTACCAAATAGATGCCATGCAGAGAATCTACCACATTTGTTTTTCAGATTGAAAGGGGAAAATCAGAAGCATTAGAAAGCAAAAAAAAAAAAAAGGAAGTAAAAGGAGCAGCTGTACGCTTAAACACTTGAAGGTGTCATGGAATCTTGCAACGTGTTTAAATGTGCAGTGGGGTCTTGGGGTGAATATAAATCAATTTTGAAAAGGGTGTTGCTCTACTTCCACACCTGGAAAAAGATAAACAAGCTAAACAAGAGTAAATGAGATCTCTTTTAAAAACAATCTTTAAACTTTAGGAGGGAAATCTAAAGAAGGAAGATATAGGAGAATATAAATTCTGAGCCATATGTAAAGCCATAGTATGGGCAAAACAAATGGGAACATTTTTTCCTAAGCAAGTGAGAAACAAGAGTCCAACTAAAGCAAGAGCCAAGAATTCATCAGGTATTAAGGGAGCACTGTGAATACATAGGGGAAATGTTTTGAAAGAAACTAGGCTAGCATTTGAGAAGGGGAAAAAGTCATGTCTCAGTTATTTTCTGGTTAAAAGATAAGAAACAAAAGTATGAAGAAATCATCTGTTGACTTGAAGGTGAATGGTTACTGAAATTTCTGAGGTGTCCCACAGAAATCAGAATGGCAGCAATGTTGCACAGTGTTTTCCTGGAAAAGGGAGTTGACAATGAGCTGATAACATTTGTGGGTTATAAACAGTTATGGAGGGCAGTCCAGCCTACAGCTAACTGTGAAGAAATACAGAAGGTTCTCACATTTCTAAGTTGGCAGATGATGATATAAAGAAGATTGGATTTTGTGTGAATAATTACAAAGTACTGCAGATGGCACATCTGAACATGAGGATATTCTCTAAATTGGCTGTAATCAAATGGAAAAAACATCTTGGAGGCACAGTGGGAAGCTCTTCAATGACAAACACCAGAAATTATTAGGAGGGAAATAATCAAACAGCATGGTGGAATGGCATGGTAAACCGCTGAATAAAATTTGTGATGAACACACATCTGGAACATTGCATTTCAGTTTTCCATGTTTTCAAGAAAAATGAACTTACTTCTGAAGTACTGAATATGTAGAGGAAGATAATAAGACAATCAAGGATTTGAAGTTGTTTCCATAGGAGAAGACATCTAACATGCCCAGTCATGGAGGTGAGATGACATTAGAACTCACTGTAATAACTGGAGTAGTAAACAAAAGGGAAATTCAGAAGCTCTGATCTCTGTTTCTTGCAACAGAAAACAGCAGTCTGGTTAGACAATATCAGGCAATGGATGCTGGGTTTTTTTAAAACATTTTTGTAGAGAGCATGCATTTAAATGAAGTAGAGGTTACTGTAGAGAAGAAAACATATTCAAAGGTAGGACTCCACAAATGTTTGGAAGTCAAGGCTGTTAGCAGCTAACAATGCTAGCATTATATAGATACACTTCTCAACAAGGAAAGTCCCTGCTCATCCCAGGAAGCAGGGTTGGTTTCCCTAGGAAAACCTTACAGGTTTGTGCTTCTCTTACTCTCCGAGACACTGTTGTGGGTGTTTGTTGAGGAGAAGGGAAGGTGGGCTTGATTTGTATGGCACCAATGCTCTCGAATGTCCAGCAGGATGCAAATCAACCTGCTTCCTTGAGAGACAGGAAAGGGTATTTTAGTGGACACAAGGAGATTTTCCATGCATGGGCTGGGAATGAAGTCCAGGAAAATAAAAATCCCATGTATGTGTTGGTGTCTTCTCACTGTGAATTGCAGCACTAACTGCTGGACAAGGTTCGAGCACTCCATGCCAAGTTGTGCCAAGACTGTGTTAACTAAAGGAGTGACAGCTTTCCACTTGGGATCTGTGGAAAAATTAATTCAAACCTTGCTTGACATATCAAGGCAAATTGGTACTACTCTTACAGCTCACCTGGTGGTCCATCTAGAAAGAATGGGAATTTCTCTGCAGGTTCTTCGTTAAAACAAGATTAAGGACTTGATTTTCACAAAGAAATCCCTTCATTGTTGTTTCTTCAAGTGAAAACTGATGTGATGAATTTTCTTGAAAGTATAAGTACTTCTACAGACAGTGCCACTTACGACAGAGAAATACCTGGAAGCTTTGGTTTTCTTTTGCTGGAGTCAGTCTGAGGAGTGAAAGTCACTGACAAGAATCAGATACAGGTGTATACGTGCCATGCCATAGCAATATGTGAAGGAGGTTTTTTTTGCATGCCAGTGCATCCATGAGTATGTAGATGTGCATGTGCAGATGTATGGATATACATCTCTCAAGTTCAGTCATATTTCCCTGTGGTTAGTTGTGTACATGACTGTGTCAGTTAGCTGTACATACACACACATGCAGATAAAACAGGATCTCCTTTGGATGCTTTCATTTGCCCTGTTTAATCATGAAAAGAGTTGCTTTGTTGCTTCAAAGCCATGATTCATACTGCATTTAAGCCAAGTACACCTCCATCCTCAGCCTTTCACAATGCTCCCTGATCCCAGTACCAGCTACACAGAATGTGGAAGAAAATGAGGTGACACTGGTACAGCTCATCTTCTTTCTGAGATCCTTAGTCACATCCATTGGCTACCATATTGAGCTGTTACAGACCTTTGTGAACAACTTTTTGTTTTCCAGCTGGCTCAGAAAGCAATGCAACTTCCTAGAAAGCAAGATATTTAGGTAGATGATATAATGCCTTCAAGCTCATGAGGAGCTGCCCTGTTTGTGAAAACTGGACAGTGCAAGTGCAGCTCATGTTCCTGGATTAGTTCTCCTCTTCTGCACTTGTAAATGAGTAGGTTCTTGGCATTACAAGTGTGTTTGGCTGTGTTTTTCTCCTAGGAGATAGTTATAACCCTTGGAGGAAATTCCTTGAGATGGCTGTGGGTCTGAATACAGCTGCTAATTCCAAAAGAAATGCCAGAATGAAAAATTATGTGGTTTTAAGATTTCCCTACTGCAAGGAAACTTGAGAAGCTGTTAAATTTTTGGGAAATCAAACATCTGTGTTATTCTTAATGCTGTTTTGAGGTTTTAAAAGCACATTGTGAGCATCCTGCTGTTTTGGTGGGGCAGTCTGCAAGCAAATTTCATAACAAAGCAGCAATCTCCATAGCCTGTTAGGGGCAGATTAAACTGGACATTGAGGAGAAAAAATGCCAAAACCAAACCAATGTGACAAAACCACTAACAATAACAACAAAACCCAGATAAGCAAAAAAACCAACCTGACAAAAAAGTCCATATTAAGCCATCTGTTTAGGTATCTTCATCCTTCACAATTAGTAGTCACTGCATTATAATGAGTTTGTGATCTCTTAAATTCTTCATAGCTCCATTTTAATTTGGAAAAAATGAGTCGTTTAAGTACATCTGTCCTAACACTGGTAGTGTATGAGCTGACACTACTCATATTTAAATGGAGATTGAAGTTGAACATATCAGCTAAACCTTGTCTGCACTGAGTTCTGTTTCTGTGCCTGTCTGCACATCTGTAAAAAAACCTTTAGGTATATGTTAGAAAAATACACATTTTCTGTACATAGGTGTGGTTATAAAATCACGCTCTTTCAAATATGCTTTGGAAGTTTTTAATATATAACAGCAAGGGGAAGATTGGGAAGGAAGAACGGAGCCCAGAACTTTCAGGTTGCCTTCAGACGTCAAAGCGAGACAAAACGGAGTGGAAAAAAAGCCCTATCAAAACCTATTATTTTTCTCTTTCTTTGAGGATTAGCTTTGTGCTCAATGCTGCATTTCATGGTTTACCAATTTTTTATTTCTGTACCTAAGCCAGATTAGCATTCACTTTCCGCAAAGTCTCTTATAAATCGAGTTCTTAGCCACAGAGAATACTGAAACATATCATGTTGTCTGAAAAAAACCCTGTGACTGCAACAAATAAGCCCCCTAGACAGTATCTCTATACCCTGTTAATTAAATTTAGTGGCAAAGGAAAGCAGTTGTTGAATTAAGGTAATACTAGAGAGATTTCAGGTTCTGGAGTAGATGGTGGCCTTTATGTTCTTAGTGTGACTATGTATGGGGCAACCAACACACCTTTTCACTGTTCTGTTTCAGAAGCTCCAGGTCTGGTTGCTGTTACAGGACACAAGATCCACTGTCCCTGTCTTCCTGTAGTCCTTAAGGACAGGGGCTTTGGGGAACACCGTATCTGGGAAATGTCACCCTCACTGAGAGCAGTTTGTTCAGTCTCACTTCAGCACTGCCAGCTATGTTGGTTTAGGCCACGTGTAAAAGGAGGGGAACTGCTGTTTGCATGAGATCTGTGAAGCCTCTCACTCTTGAAGGGACTTGCTTACCACTAGCAGCAGCTACATCACAGGTCAGGATCCCAGAGACTTCATCCTTTAAAACCATAGGGAGATTGCTTTCCTTCAGAATGATACAAGTTATTTTTGGTACATCAAACTTTCCAGTACTATGAACTGAAAAACACCAGCACAGCCTGTTTGATTTTCAAGACAAAGGTGTCTAACCACTTTGCAGCTGTACTCAAACTAGAATATTTTGCCTTGTCTTTAGTCTTTTCTTGTTTAGTGTTACATTTGTGGTTGAATAAACTGCATGGCTCTTCAGATTGAATCTTCAAACAAGCTTGTTTTCACTTACCAGAAATTATTTCCAATTGCTATTAATGGCAAACCTCACTGGGAAATGTATTCACGGGTCAGCAGAGATTTGTTCTTTTCTCATGTGTTTTGCAAGAGTCATGAACTGATTAATATATTAGGGATTTGTACAGAGCTAATGATGTGTGTATGCACAAGCTCTTTTTAAAAACAGGGCTAATCAATAAATGAACAAAGTGAAATTTGCTGATTCTATTCTGAAAATCTGAAGTAAAAAAGGATTATCTGTTTAGGAGAGCTGGGTGAGGTGTAAAGGTATTCCTTCAAGCTCTGAAGTACATGGAAACATCTTTTTGTTTTCAAAAGCTGTGGCAACCCTGAAACTACAGTTGCAGGATAGCAGATGTAAATTGCAATGCTGAAAATAATAACGAATGGATCTTTAATTGATAATTAAAGAAAATCCATCTCTCCATTTAGTTCTCACCCTGTGTAATGTATGAGAATTCCTGGCTGAACTTGAAATTGTGCTTTCTTAGTTAGCAAGCTTTCTTCCCAAGTTCAGGAATGTGCTTTGGACTGTATGTGAGACAGAAGTTGTGAAATTGCCTTCAGTGGGATTAGCATTTCTGCAATAAATGTTTTATTCATTCAGGGTGAACTGAGCCACCATACTGGCAATTGCTTTTGTACATTTGAAAGAGTTAATTTGGGTTTAACATCTAAATAATGACATCACACAGCTCTGCAGTGGTGCACCCTCAGACTTCTAGCATGGCAATGAAAAACTATCATTTCCTTCTCCTGGTGGTAGATAGCCATGACAATTGCCTTAATTTTTTATTGTTTATATAACAAAAGACATGTAGTGTCTTTTTTGTATTTGGCTCTACATAGACCTCTGGAGTCTCTTAAGTATGTGTGTAAAAGGACAGTCTTTTAGAGTGAAGAAAAAGTGGAATTTAAGATGGTTGACTGCATGTAATTAGCTTCCAGTAATGGATCACAGTTCAGGCAGCCATCACCCACAAAGTTACTGTATAGCAAAATCGCTGGAGTCAGCAGGCTTCTGGAAAATACCCACCACTATTGTTTAAATGCTTGTGTTCCAGTATTTTTCCACAATTATTTTTGTTTCTGCAGCATTGTGTTCTCTCTGTGAACACCACTGTGGAGGTGATTGTTTTGGGAGGAATGAGCTCTGAATTTCCAAGCTGTCCTGAGGGTGTGGAAAAAAGGTCTTTCATGGAAACTACCTCAATTAAAAATATGACAGTACATAATCGTGGACCTGAGGAGACCTGACACACATTTCACTCCTGGCCCCTGACTGCCTGGGTAAATAGATGCCATACTTAGCACAGAGAACAAATGGTTTGGGCTGAGAAGGGTGAGTCATTCAAAGCTGAGTTGCTTTTCCTGAAAGCACACAGAAATGCAGTGATTAAACAGGCTTTACATTTGGAAAATCCTGCAGGCAAGTCTTTAATCAGTGTTGAAATGCTTTTCCATGTGCTTTGTTTTGACACAGCGTGGTGATGGCTCTAGGTACGGCAGTCACTTTTAGCTGCTAGAGGCGTATGGGTGACGACTGCTCACGTTACGTGAGCACAGTGCTGGGTGTCTGACGAGTGTGCTCCTTCTGCTGCAGGTGCTGGATTGAGCTCAACAGAGAACCAGCTTTTCCACACAAACTGAGAAGATGCCTGAGCTGCGTGGGCCGCCCGAATTCAGGGAGAGTGAGCAGATGGCACCCCGAGCCCGCTGCAGGCCTGGTGATGCTGTTCCTGATGAACTTGGTTTGAAACACTAGTTCTCATCCCTTGTGGAAAACCACAGTGGTTCATGACACATGGACCTCAGCTGTTCCAGCTTCCTGCTCCCATACACGTGTGTGTGTGTTTGTGCACTTGTGTGGGTGCAGCAACATTTGACTCAGCTAGGTCTTGCTGGTGGGAGAGCAGAATTTCTGTGCTGGACTCACTGTGTGAGTTATTGTGTATACAGATGATAATATTGGATGGCAACAATATCCCTGGGAAGCTCTCTGCACACTTGTTGGAGAGTGGGTGGGAGAGGGTCAGAGGCTGCTTGCCATAATCATGTGCTATTGCAGTATTCATATAAGTGGTTCGTGTTTATGCTGTTTTCTCTTTTCTTACTGGTTTAATACTGGAGCCTTTTCTGTAAAAATGAAGGAACTTGCCATAATCATGTGCTATTGCAGTATTCATATAAGTGGTTCGTGTTTATTCTGTTTTTTCTTACTGGTTTAATACTGGAGCCTCTTCTGTAAAAATGAAGGAGTAATTAAATCATTGCTTATCAGTAATGCCATAATGTTTCTGCCGTAATGAAGAAGCGCTTAATTACTGTGTGTTACATGTCACATCAGAGCCTGTCACATTGCTTTTCTCAGGGAGATTCCCCAGGGAAGGAGTCAGCCAAGTTCTTGGTACATCCCTGCCTGACTGCAGGGCACACAACTGAGCAAAACACACTTTGTTCACCTGGCAGCTGTACTCAGGGGGGTTCTCTGTGTCTGTCAGAGACAAACTGTCCACTTGTCTTTCAAACATTGCGATTTTCCACATGTAAACTTCATTTCTTGTTGGAGCAAAGATGTCATTCAGAGGAGATAGGTGAAGGGCGATGAGAATCTGCGAGTTATGCTCCCAAGGAGAAAAGAGTGGCTGGGGTGGATGAAGCAGAACTTGATTTGAGGCAAGGGGTTACAGGAGTGCCTGGAAAAGTCAATAAAACCCAGAAATTGGATGATCTGTATTTGGGAGAAGCCCTGAACTCTCTGCAGAGAGTGGAAGAATAGGAGGGAGAAGCTGAGGTAAGATGCCTACTTGGAGAGGATGCCCTGCATGAAGATATGCATTTATTCAGGCAGGTGCTGGGAAGAGGTGGGAAGATGCAGGGAATTCCCCTGTTCAGTTGCCCCAGCCCTTGCTGACACCATGCCTTGTTTTCCACCTCCCATAACACCATTGATCCTTTCTCTGCTCCAGAAAGGCTGTCTAGGAGAGGTATTAGGAGGTTTATGCTTCTGATGGTCAGTCATCCAGTCCCGCCTGGGCTGGCCGGAGTGTTTCCACCTGGACATCTGGACCTCCTGAAACCTGGGTTGGTGGAAGGCATCGCACCGTCGGAGCTGCTCCTGCTGCAAGACTGTTTCCCATGGAGTGGGGTGGGGGAGAAAAGGTTCCAGCCTCTCTGGTGGCTGCTGGGTTGATCTGCCTCTGTCATATTGCTACGCCACAGCTTTGCTCTTCAAGCTGACCCTTGGCTCTTCCCTGCCCAGTCTCCATCAAGGGCTGAGGAAGAAAGATATTTTTCTTTCTAGGAGGTGAATCATAAATAATGTCCATGCTCTGCTTTCCCACTGAAAGGTTGTTATACCAGCTGCATGTGTCCTTTGAAACACAGAAAAAATGTAGTGTGTATAATGAAGTCATCCCTTGTATGCTTCTATCTGTTTTGTATTTCTTTTTTAAAATTTTTAAGCTGGGACACCACCTACCCTGCTGTAATGTCTTCCTGGGTGACATCCAAAAGTGTAGAGGGTCAGATCCTTACCAGCAGTAGATTAATGTAATTCCATTAAAATCAAAGGAGCAGTTCTCATATATCACAGTAAAGGTCCTCTTGCAGAAAGTATTTTTGACTGCCAGCATCCTCACTGAGCATGGGGGAAAGAAATCCATGGTAATTTGGGGGGAATATTTAGCCAGTCTACTTTAAAGGTTCTCCTATTTCAGTTGTGCCTAGGGATTCCTATCAGAGAAAAAGATGCTGATAAAGGGGATGGTTTAGCACAAGTTTAATTCAACATTGACTTAAGCTGTCAGGGCTAAGTAGATCAAGAAGAATAGCACTCAAATTATGACAGCTTCAAGGCTTTGTAGATAAGAGAATTTAATTTTAATTAGGATCTTCACTGAATTTTGAAAAGATCATATTGTTTCATCAATGTATGGAAGGACAAGAAGCAACACGAACTCTTCCACCTTAAAAGTAGGAGCAAACCTGTCTTTTGTTTTAGCCCAAACCCTGTGAAGGCCAATATAACTTCTGGGGTTTTTTTCCTGGAATTATATGGTACAATATTATTGTTTCAAAGCTATTACTATACTGAAAATGTTATTGCTCTGCTGCAAGGACAGTAAAGCAGACTTTACTAAAAGCAAAATTTTATTTCAGCTGACTGAAGACATGCCTCCCTCCCAGTTTAGAGGTATCTCCCTCACCCAACAAGATTTTTAAAAAAATAAGTTACTTTTAAAATGTCAGTCTCAGGCTTCATCTTAAGTTAAAACTTTTAAATCAGAGGTTTATTAAAGTTAGTGTTTATAATGCTAAGATTATGCCACTTGCTCCTATGAGGAATTTATGGATAAATAGCTTACAAGCAGGCATCATGCATTTAAAAAAACATGTTTTGCAGGTTTATGTAACTAATTTTAGATACAGTGACTGTCTCTACCTAAGATCCTCATCATTGTCGAGGAAATGAGAATTTCTCAGGTCTATTATCATCCTTAATTCCATTAAATGTACTCAAGCACCGTGAATGTAAACCCTTGTTGTTTGTTGCCAGCCTCTTCTAGGACCTCATCATTCTTAGGTGGGAACAGATGGGAGGCTGGTCTGCTGGGGTTCTTGATATCAAAAAAGACTGAGAAACTCCTGTTGAAATAGAGGAAAATTGTTCAATTTTTAAATAAATATACCTAGTTGAAGCTCACTTTTGAAGGAAAGAATCTGTGGAGCATGATTGGAAGGGTGTTCAGAAAACAGATGGTACATTTTTATTGTTTCCCTCTTTCTTCTTTTTCACTTTTGAAAATGAAGTCCTGCAAAAATTTTACAGTGATTGTAGAAATAGAAAAGTAGTGAATTGCCCCAGTCAAATGAGAGGATGTTTAATAAGAGAAAGGAAAGTATTTTGTTAAAATCAGATTGTCTCAGACTGCTAATTTTTTTTCAGTGGCTAATTAACTTCAGATAAAAGAGATTGTAAAGTCTTTAATATCAATTTCAGTTCTTCATGAAGATGCAAGTACTCGAACATCCTTGATGCATCCTTTATTAAGCCATGGAAACTGTGAAAGACTAAACTCTTGATCTTTCAAATTGATCTAAAGGAGACAAAAATCAAGAAGGTTTTAGCTTTATTCTCTTCATCTGTCCTTGACCCAGCAGCTGTAATTTAGCCATCAAATTGATGGGGAAGACAAAACTTTATACAAAATATGTATCTTCTCTCAGGTCAGCTACAATGGAAGGAACATTTGGTGTAGAGGTTTTAATTTCTTTTAATTTCCCGAAGTTTCAAACTGATCTGTGCAGCTGTAAGTGTACAGAAGCTTAAAACCAAATTTGCAAAACCTGAAGCAAAATCTGATTGAGTTTATAAATCTGGCCTTGATGAGGAGACTTAAGGCTGGATTATTCAGATTGTTTTGGAAGTCAAGGTGATTAAAATTTTCTCTTAAATAAGAAGACATCCTTTAGCATCTTCTTGATGAAGACTCTAAGATTGGAAGTGCCTGTTTTGGAAGATGGTAAAAGCCAGAAATCAAAGCATCTTTCTTTAATAAAAATAATTCTTCATTTCAGAAGTGCAAGGCAGCCTGGAAGAATGAAGACAAGCCCAGGACCCCTTCTTTTTGTGCTGAGCTGTGATGCTCACAGATGCTGAGTGAGGGTCTGTAGGAATATTGCTACCAGTGGGGTGAGAAGGGATCAGAAGGGAGTTACTCTTTCTGGCCCTGCCTGGGGTGAGAGCAGGGTGTGGCTTTGCCATTCTGGTGGGTTGTCAGCCTGGTCATCAGCAGGAGTTTGCACTGCTCCTGCCTGCATGCCTTGAACCTTCCCCACCATGCATGGGACTGCTGTAGGGCTCACCCAGATCATCTCCCATATGGCCCCCCAGGTGTGGGGGTGTTTGTGGCAAGAATTTCTTCCCTTTCCACTTTGATTTTTTCCTTCCTGTCAGTCACTGCAGGGAAGATTCAGTCCTCTGTGTCAGTGCAGAACAATGACATACCCCAGCAGGGCCTAAGGGCTGGGCAGTAATTGCAGATATATCCACCTCCAAGCCCTGCAGAACACTTTGTCTTTCCCACTCGTGATTCCTGTAATGGGAGGAAGCGTGTTTAGATAAGGAGTCTCACATTTTGAGAGTTCTGTTGTCTACAGGCAATGTGCTGTCTGTATCTTTTGCACACAGGGCAAGAGGGGCTCTGGCATTGCAAGAGCAAAACCTAAAGAGCTCCTCTAAAACACACACAGCTTACTAGTAACCACTTCTAAAGAGAGGACATTGCTTTTATATCCTGTTTTCTAAGACTGTTACCAGAGGAAAACTATGTTTACTTCAGTGTCCTGAATGAGGATGAAGGGCTCAGAGTATCCAGATTCTTGGTTACTCATTAGAACTAAAGGTCTTGGTATCAGATATCATATCCTAATGGAGTATTAATTAATCATCTGGCTGGGAAAGTTTGGCTTTAGAAATATGTAACATAACTGAAGTGCTTCCACTTTTACTCATCAAATTCAGCATGAAGATCAATTTGTGCATCTGCAACCTCTTCAAAAGTAGCTGACAACAGAATGGCTTGTTTGCTCAGAGACAAACTTCTGTGGCTTGTTACATGATATGGAGTATCTGAGTTCACCTTCCTATCTTGTATTTGCAGTTATCCCAGGAAAAGGGGTTGGGGAAACAACAGGAAACCTTGAGACAGACTAGGATAAAAAAAATATACTTTGTGACAGAATTTTATGATGGAATAAACTGTGTTTTATTTTATCCCCTTATACACCCATCTGTCTAAACTATTTTTACTCACCTGAGACCTGTCAGTGTTGGGAACATCTGCCAAGATGTTCCACTGCTGATGATGGGTATGACATTCAGCAAAACACTTGCAAAATTTTATATAAAGGGGGATGCAATATGTTTTTCATGATCATGCCTATCTACCATTAAAGAACACTAAAGTTCACTCAAGGTTTTCCAGCTGGCTGGTTTTGAACTGAATTATCAAAGACCTTACATTGCTCTTAAGTCCTCAAGCACATTTGCACTTGCTCCCCCTTGCTTAATGTACTTGTTATAAAAGTAAAAGGTACTGTCTTTTCTTAGACTTGTGAATATAGCTGAGAAAAAGGAGAGGGA